CCCAACTACAGCAAGCCCCTCTGGGCCAGCACAGAGATGCTGCTGATAACAGCAACTGAGAAAATTGAAAGCACTGTGCGTGGAAGATATTTTCATACAAGAAGTCTGCTGTGCAGCAGGCTTGGGAGCTGTGAACAACTGTTACTCACATCATTATGCAAGCTGACTTTAAAATCCTAACGAACATTGCACTTAAACCCAGCAAATCTAGTTCCCTTTTGGGCATGTGACTGGATGTAAAGCTCAGCAGACAGCACAGCAGTGTACGTTCCTTGAAGCCACCACAGATCGTTAGCTCAAGTTGTTCCTTTTCAAGTGACCCTGATTTTCACCACGTGCTGAGCACCCACCGTGTAAAAATCAAAACCCAGGGCCCAAGCGATTCAAATTTTTTTTCTCATTTTTAGAAGAATTTAGCTTGGCAAGCCTGTTCACAAAATTGTATTCAACACATCCATCTCCGTGGCTTCTCCAGGCCAACTTCTGCAAAACCTAGATGGCAGAGCCAAAAAGATAACACACAGCTGCTAATTTTTTCCAACCAGCACCAGGCATGACAATCCTCATTACTTCACAGAATGGGTATTTAGGATGAGGTTTGTGCAGATTACTAGGTTATGTCTGGACTCGAGCACTGAAAGCCTGTGCTTCTGCCATCTTATTTCTCTAATCCATCAACAGTGCAAGCAATCTGTCTTACATACCCAAAACAGTCAGAACACATCAAATTGCCTTTGTACCACACTGAAATAATTTGCTGTTTGGAAACTGGTTGTGCACCCAAGTGACAGAAAAAAATCTGATCTTTTATTATTTGGATCAGTACCCGACATACTTGCTAATGGATTAGCAATAAAATAAAGTTCTAGGAACTGTCCTCTCCCACCTAGAATGGAGAAGCCTTCAGTGAGTCTGCTTCCTGACATCAGTAGCCTTATCCATATAAGCGAAATGAGAGGCTGCTGACAACATACGAAAAGGCTGGAGCCACTCGCATCTTCTCCCCCTTCCTCCCAACCACAAACACAACCAAAAAACCAAATTAAAAGGTGATATCTGTAGCAGTGAACAAAACAGTTTCGGTAGCCAATGAGTACAGTGACACATGCCACCACTGAATCCATGCCGCTTTAAGGAGCAGGTCATTGCATCCAAGCTGCCTACTGGGATTTGTTCTGGGATCAGCTTAACTCCAGAATGGTAACTGATAGGTCTTTGGGCCAAGGACCAAAGTACCGGTACCAAGGACCAGCCTAACATTTTCACTAGAGGATGACCAAATTTCCGTGGCAGCACGCAGGCTTTGGGACTGCGTGATCGCTTAGCACAGAGATCAGCAAACAGAGCGCAGGCCAAATGGCGTATCCCGAGGCATGAGGACGCTGACACAAGTTTGGGCTGTGAAAACGCAGCAGAGCTAAGCCAAAGCAAAGCAGAAGGATCCATTCCCTTTGCCAAGAGGTCCTGAGTGCCCAAAACACACTGTAACCCCTCCAATGGGCTGGCATCATCTCAAAACGCCAAGGCTACTCGGAGAGTCCCAAAGCTGCCCGAAAGCCTTGGCTCCCTGTTCGGATCCGTCTAAGGACAACAGTTCATGCGATGAGTTCCGCCCTACCCAAACTTCTTCTAAGGCCAGCGGACATGCTGGCATAGGTAAGTTATGGCAGTCAGGTGGTAGCAAGTAAAAGCACACGGAGCTTGTCTAGAAACGCTCAGGACCACTACAAAGGGTGGAATATGTGCCTGAGACTTGAGAGAAAACGTTACAGCTATTTGCGGTCCGCCACATGGGAAAAGCACGGATACCCTCAGCACATGGACTTAACACCGTACCAGCAAAATAGATTATTTATTTCAGACAGCGGGCTGAATCATGACCCCAAGTACAACTAATCCCACAATATATTCACACTTTAGGGCTATGAGCAACAAGGGATGTTCAAAGGAGTGCACCAGTTAACAGCTGAAGAGAAGAAAACAAGAAAGGAAAAGAGAGAAGGGAAAAAAAAAGCAGTTGAGGCCTTTTCTGCTGGGAGAGAGGAGTGAGAAAGGTTGAAAATTGCAAGCTACAACTTGATATAATTACCACCACTACTCGAGGCTCACAGCTGCTGCCCAAAACGTTCCAGAAATTTCGGAAAGCTTTGAGACTGCTGCCAAAGCAAACGCCATACACTGCAAGGCCCGAGAGTGGATTTCTAGGCAGGACACCTATCATTACAAGGGAATTCAGAGCAGCTTGAGGTTTTGTTGTTAATCTTTTTGTTTAGATCTGAATTCCAAGGTACAACAGAAAAAGCTTTTGGCACAAATCGGCTGAAGAAAATATTTCTGTGCGCGTGTTTGATTTTAGAGAGTAAGTTTTTGCCCAACTACAGTCACTTAGCTATTGCAGAAAAGGTCTTCAACTGCCAGAGAATGCTTTGCTTACAGGAAAATGAGGCTTTGTATTTTCTCCTCTGCTGAGCTATCCAACCACTTCTTTCACTTAACTCTGCTATGTTCCCAAAAGATAAAAATCTCACTCCCTAAGCAGCATACTGCAGTTAGACCCAGTCAGCATCGTTGCAGTGAAGCTTTGTACAACCAATTGACCTATCAAAGACAACGGATGAGCGAGCATCCCACCCGTACGACAGCCTATGGAAGTCATCTTGAGGTACAAGAGCCACAGAATTCTTGGTTGAATGTAAGTTTTCAGGGTGAAAAAAGACTGATTTTTTTTCACTCCACGGAAAAATTGATTTGAAGGTAAGAAAATAAAAATATATTAGCTGAACTGACAAGGTAGAAAGGGAAGGTAAACATTGCTACAGCCGTATTTGAGGAGATATGGATGAACAGTTTTTGAAAACACGCCCACGCATGCTAAAGGAGATTTTTTAGTAGCTAACATAGGAAGATAGAGAGTGTGAGTATAATCTTTTAATTAACTACCAGTGTTCTCTTTAAATATGATAACATCTTTATCCTGCATTAATCAACACCTTGACCTTTCACACTTGAGTTTATTTAGTTCAAGGGACAGTAATTATTTCATTAACAGAAAACACGCATGTTGCAACTCACCATTATTAAAGCGCTTTTAGTCCTAACCACACATACAGGGAAGAACGTGACCTGCACTTGTGGGGGGGAGGACACACACCACTAAAAGCGTGAAGCACATTTCCAGCTCACATGCACAGAGGCGTCACGCATCGCAGTAAAGCTTCATTAACTTCAGTAAGGCCACACAGATGACAACAGTTGTGTGTCTGGCCCAACATCTTAATTATGTAACAGTAAAAAAAAAACAACATTAAACTCAAATTCTGTTATGAGGAGTTTACATGCTGCTACATGCGTGCCTGCAAGTATAAAATAGTAGCTTTATTATGTCTGATGAAAGGCAGCACACTACTCAGCTTCCACACATATGCCCAAACCAACTCACTGGCAATTGGTTAATCCAAGGAACTGAAATTTTGCCAAGAAGTACATCTTGCCCTAATATAGTACCTCACACATACCTCACCCTTCTTACTACGACCATAGCTCTGAATCACTAAATAGTAATGAGACGCGCTCTGTCATTTAGAAAACCTGCATAACTTTTAACAAGGAAAATAAAAATTCTAAGTTAAGGTGTTGTAGCACACGGTTCCTGTTTACAGTTCTTCAGCCTTCCTGGACCCATTTAGAAGAAGAACATTAAGACATTTAAGCAGGAAACAAACAAATCAGCCTTGCCCACACAGGCACTGCTCTGCTTTGCTTTACTCTTAGATTGCTCTTTCCTTCAAAACCTAACCTGATAGTGGGAATTGCACCATTTTATGATGAAAGTCGGGGACACGCACGCTCTGGGAGGCTTATGTATCCAAACGTAGCCACAGTCTGTTCATTCATGTAATTGCTATGAGTTTCTCAAAGGGCCGGTTGAAAAGGAAAGCCAGGCTTCCGCTGTGACAGAACTAAAGGAGGAACCAAGGAGAGACTTAAAACTTCCGCAGCCTCACCGATTGCTGCAAGGCGCGAGAGACGTTCTCCCAGCGCGGCGCAACTCCTGCGCTCACGGGAGCTCTGCGGCACGAGTTGTACGCCAACATCTCCTCATTGTACCTGGCCACTGGGCAGGGTTTTTTAAAAAGAGCGTTCTAATGGTCTTAGAAAGCCCAAAAACCCAGTAGCTGGACGTAAGATTTGGGGTTAGGAACTACAGCTTGAGCTGGGCCTGTGAGAGGACAAGTTGAACAACTGCTTTATGCCTTCCGTAAGGGCTGGCTAAAGTTCTAGTGGGCAGCTACTCCCAAGTCTGATCAATTAGCCCTTCAAAGCAGGTTCATGACGTGTGCGCTGGAGCTTGATACTGACAAATAAATAACTACTGGATTACCTGTTGAAAACAGGGTGGAATCCTGCCCATCACTTTTTCAAGAACCTGAAAACTAAGAGTCGCTTGCACTGTAACACCTGAGGCGGGAAACAACGTCCGCCCTGCAACTCCCAGAGACGAGAGCAGCATTAGACGATTTTTTTTCTCTAAGAAAAACAAAGTGAAAATATAGAGATCAGCTTGTTATTTTACAGGTGGCTTGAGGCAGAAGGTTTCACACTAGATACCAACGTGTCTTAGAAACTCTCATTCCCTTTTAAGCTGAAAAACTGCCCACAAAGATCACCTAAATAAAGATGCAATTAGAAGGCAAAAAAGTAATTTCTTACGTATTGCTGATATAACTGTGTGCAGTTTGTACTCCCTAAACTACTTGGGATAATTCTATCAAAGTCAATTCCATTGTTTACTTTCGTTATGTCATTAATTTTGAGGAAAAGATTAACGATTTTTGAAGCTTCCAAGTAACTCAGTTAAGATTTTTCTTTGAAGAGCTTCTGAAGTAAGCCTCTCGCTTGTTTTTCAGAAGTGCTTCAGTGTTTTGGAAATACGACGCTTTTTTCCCCCGTGTATTTTAAAATATTTGAGTTTAAAGTATGAAGTAAATAGGAAGACTTACCGAAAATCTGGAAAAGACAGAGAGAAGAGAGAAAAATTTATTTGATGGTGAAATAATGAATTTTTTAAACAAGCAATACCACAACTAATGTTGCAAAGTCATATCCATGAATACATTTAGTTATATCAGACCTAAGGCCACAGAGATGTGCGAGTATTTTATTTATAAACTGAGTTTTACAGCTAGAAATGCACGACTACGAAGAGCCTGCACTTCAGTTGGGGTCGCTAACGTAATTCAGGTTGTGTACCTTGACCCTTGAGTGTGTGAATTGGTTCAGAAAACAGTTCATCAGGTCATAAATAACTGGAGGGACATTTAATTCTATGTGGAATAATATTAATTACATTCCTTAGAGAAGTACCGTTGCAGATGTTAATATCGGCAAATCAGCTACAGAGCACTCTAAATATTTTGAAGAAAATGAAAAAAAAAAAATCTGCCAGCGCTAGCACGTACCGTTTGTTTACAACGGAAGAAGGCTTGAAATCGGAACTAGAATGAAACCCCCCCCAAATTCCAGGACCTTCCAGAAAGTTTTGCTTATTTGTCTAAGAAATTATGAGCTGGGTGTAAATTTGGATTTTAATATTGCCCTGATGCCCAATGTCTATGAGGGAGAATATCCAAGTTTATGTTTCTGCAGCCCACGTCTAGCTTGCACGCTCAGCCCTCTAAGTGTTTATACTGCAGAAAGGACCAGTGCACCAAAAAAGTTTTTAACAGTTTCCTGTTTCACTACAAGGTTCTTGTGCATCTAATTCCCCTGCCCTTTATTTTCTTTAAATCGTGTGGGTTACACCTTGCACGATTACAAAAGCATTTTACGAGTAAGATCTCTTGAACTGTACAGCATCATTAGATCCATAAATCAAAGTTTACAAATGTAAATAACTTAAGAAAATAGTATTTCCCAATGGCTCCTACATTTCTATACATTCGGGTATTTTAAGGTGCTGTAGTGACCGCTTGAGAGTATTTAGTCATGCCTAAGACTTTCTAACACATGCCTTCTTTCCAGCGGCGTAAACACTTCACAGACAACATTGATAGCAGCATATGTTTTCTCCCTCAAGATTAATTCTTGAGCTTGTCTGACATGAAGAGATTCAGTTTTCAAGAGAGCAGTTAGCGAAAAAGACAAAAGCTTTTCTTGGTTGGGGTTTTGCTTATTTAAAACAAGCAAAAGCAGAGGGGGTTCCTGGGGAGGGGGAAACGCTACCAGAATAATTGCTTAGTACAGTATTCGGCATTCAGATAGTTATTACTTTGAGGTGTGTTGCACTTGTGAGAGTATGAGATGGCCTACAGTAAGCTTCTGAAAGAGAATTGCAGGCCTAAACCCTTTAATCTCTGCAATTTAAGACAAATGGGCAAATGCTCAAATATTAAAAAGCAGCACCAGAAAAGGGGCGGGGGGAGATCACTGCTGTGAAGTGCACGTGCACACAGCCTTTACGTATCTTGAGTGGAACAAGAGCTTGAAACATGCCTAGATTATGCAGACCCACGTATTTGGTCAGAGAGAGGATTCCCTCCCCTCCTAACCGTTGGTATGGTTTTCAGCAGCTCGTTCTTATAACTGAATAAGCAAAGAAAAAAAGAGACACTTGCTATTAATACAGCCAACTGAATGGCAGACCTGCCAATTCATCATCGTTACCAAAAAACTGCTTTCTTCCTACCGACTGGGAAGTGGGAATTATTGGACTGGCCGTTCCTCCATGACTGAAGATGCTGCCCGCGTGCCAATGAGCAGTACGGGGTCCGAGCCACCCTCTCCCGCGGGTTGCCTTTCCCCTGTAGCACGTGCGCCGGCTTGAAACGTTTGCCTGCATCTCCTGATCATCTCAAGCCTCACATCAGTAAAGGAGCAGGGCACAGTAGCAAACCCTGCCCACCTCTCCCCGCTGAGGAAAACACAGCCTGTTTAGCACGGGGTGTTCCCCAGCCCCATGAAAAACGTGCTTGCGTTATCCATTCCCTCCAGTTACACGACTGTTCAGGTCACTCCCGGCGCAAAGCTTCACACGAGGAAGTGTGAAAGGGACTGCAGGAGCCAGAATCAAAACAAGGATATTTTCAACCTGAATTTCGGTATGCAGCGACTCCAGCACAGACAGATGCAATGTAAACGGGGGTCCACCGGCGGCCTCTGCGCTAGCCTGCAAAAACCTCACCTCGTCTCGAGGTGAAAACCAGCTCATCTCGCACAACGGCTCCATTAGGAGCCTTCATTGAATGGAGACTGCCAATTGTATCGAACTGTGCCAAGCCACACATGACGATTTTGGGACAACTGCTGGAGATGGCAAAGACCGAGTTCTGGCCAAACTATATTTACAGTAAAATTGAGGCAATTGTGTTCTGTATCGCATTCTGAAATTTCATGTAATGAGATGCATAAAACAGAAAGCCTGAAAACCAAGAAGAAACTACTCAGATTTTTATCCTGAGACTACTATCAGAAACCCAGCTCGGGGAAGTATCTGGACCAAAGCGCATGCTAAATTGACTGTTTTCCCCAAGTGAAACCACACCACTGGAAATGCCGTAATGGAACACATGGCAGCAGGCAGCTTTGGTGGGGAAGAGAGTAATTCAGCTTCTATTTTGCTCACTTGACCAAAAAGCAGCGTCTCTGGACACTCGCCCTGGCTTAACCACCTTAATTCTTCTGCAAGTGCTTGCTCTTGACTGCTTTCTATACGAGACTTTCTACATAAAACTATTTGGAACAGTCACCATACAAGTGAAAACCTTTTCTAAAAAATAAGCTGAAAATACAGTTCTCCGATAAATAGGCACTGGATGGCAAATCTCTTGCGTTCTCAGTACGCCAAACATTTTCAAATTCTGAGCAGATGTTAAAAAAAAAAACCAGAAAAGCACAAAATAAGGCAGAAATCCTCTTCCCTCCCAAAATCCTCATTCACTAAGTCAACAGAACTCAACAGTTCCGAGGGCAAAAAAAAATACATGTATAATTTTAGCTAGCATATAGGAATAGCTTTTTCCCCCAACTTCTTGGAAAACACTATATAAGCAGCAGATAGGCCACGCCAACCGAATCACCTTCATTTACACGCTCGCAGTTTTCTCTAAGCAGCTCTGACAAACACGTGCGGCAGGATTTCCCTGCACAAACACCACGCCGGCTGGTTCCCAGCACACCACGCTTACCCGCACCCTTTAATCCCATTCCTCATTCCCGTTTCTAACAGCTTGCCTTGCACAGCAGTCACAGCCTTACCGGTGAATAGTTTACTGACTCTCCACAGGAATACGTTTTTAAAACTGTTGTTGTATTTAACACCTGGGAGTCCTCAGGTACTAAGGTAGTTGACACAAAAACACTCCCAGCAATATAAGCAAGCCAGCAGTTTTGTTAAGGTCATGCTTGAAAAAATTCCGGGAAAATATGATTTGCAACTGCTCGTCACACAAAACCAAAATTAAACAATCCAGCTGTGGGAAATCCAACAACGCTATCACTAAAACTGCACTGGACATCACATTTAGGCTGCACCTAAACGATTTGTGTCCCCATAGATTAAAAAGAACAAAACAGAACTAAGAAATGCCCACGTCTAATAATAAAACAAGAACAAAGAACAACAAGGCAGCATTGACTGCAAATATTTGTGGTAACGTGTCTCTGAAATTGCCACATTCCAAACCAACTTTACTGTAAGATTAAAATCTAAACCCACAAGCAGAATTTTTATCTGAAACTTCCAGAAGCCATGACCACAGTAACCTCGAACGCACCAGAAAGGAAAACCCGTGACTTCCAGCTCAGGCCCTGACTTTACCTCCTCTTCTAAGAGCAGGTGAGATGCATTTCTGAATCACGAGGCCTGCTAAGAGACAGACCCCTTCACCTGTACCCAGCTGGCCACCAGAGAATGTGGTACAGGCTTTACAAACCCAACTATTACCCTTCACAAACTTTTGAACAAGACCCACCCTTTTAATAACAAACCTAGCATCCTACTTAGCATGAGTAATAAGAAATTACTCCTAAATAGAATATGTTGGTGGTTTACTGGAAGTTCCTGTATCAGTAAGGCAGCCAGGCTTGATTTAAATTATGAAAGTTAACTGCGTATACATTATTAAGCCACTAAAACACCAATTATCCTAGTTAAAAACTTGTGCTTTATTTCCAGATCCGAATAGATTCCTTCCATTCTAGTCACTGAGATGCAATGCTCAGAAGCGTATCGCTAACAGTCACATATAATATGCTGTACATAAGCATATGGTCATCTACCATTGAGACTGAATGGAACTTCTGTTAAACTTCTCCAATCTGTCCCACAGAGTAGCAAATTCACGGAGACAGTCCTACGTCTCAGCAACTGAAGAACCAGCAAACTCCAAAGGGCATTTTCCGCTGCTTCTGTGTACCATCCTCCTGCCGTTTTCCCAGCGGTCTTACCATCACGTTCAGCTACGCCTTATGCCTAGTCATGGGGCTAAGAAGTCAAGGCTGACAAGTCCAATAAAGCTGTCAGAGAGAAGCTGAAAATAAAAGCAGACCCCAGACACGAGAGGAAAGGCTGCGAAGCTTCTGTATTGCATTAGCTACAGCCGCAGGCATTGCTTCTATCAGCCGAGTTGCATCCCTTCCTATCACAAAAGGAACCGATTACCATCACTACTGCAACATCATTAGTCGGGCTCCAACCGCAGAAATCCATGAATCCCACACACAAAAAAAACCCATTCACCAACATTTCCCTGAGGAGAAACTTAGAAGAAAATTCCGGGGCAGGAGTCTTGTGAATGAAGAGCCATGTGTTAAGAAACACCACCGTACTCCACAAAGTGGCCCGAGAGACCCAAACAAGGCGGAGCTGCGGCGGTGCAGCAAGCAGTGTCACCTGCCGGCAGCGCGCTCCCCAGCACGCCTCCGTCAGGAAGCGGTCGCTCCCTGGGAAAGGAGCTCTTCCCACCTTTGCGCAGCACAGGGGAGATAACAAAACCCTCTCTCCGCTTCCCTACTGCTAAAAGGGATCAGGGATTAGACAACATGAACCATCAGCAACCCCTGACAGCCAGCAGCATGGGACCAAAAAACTACTTTCTCGTAGAACTGTATCACTGCCATTTCCAGAAGTGGGCAATTACAGTCAAGTCTGCAAAAACAGGGGTGGTAGCTTCAAGGACGTTGGCTAGTGAAAGTTCTAGTTAATCACCTTCACAGAGCAAAATAAGGAACCAAGGGAGGGAAAAAAACCAAAGTGAATAAGGACTGGCAAAGGCCGTTTTTCAAGAAATGTTTCCTCCGAGTCCATCAACCGAGTCACTGGCTCGGAGGAGGGAGAATACAATTGCCTTTTTAACATCAGGATTGGCACCAAGAGGCTCAGTACCGCTGGAGAACGATGCTTACAAACCAAGCAAGGATGACGTGTCAGCCTCACGAGCAATGCTATGGTGAGATCCAGTGTCCCTAAAACAGTTTTGGGACTCGGGGCTGAACACGCTACTGAATCGCCTTTCGTCTCCTCCCACCCCTTCGAACACCGGCTGAGAGTCGGGTTCAGCCTTCACAGCGGATCAGCCGGGACACGCTGCTCCCTCCGGCG